CTATCATTGATAAATACTTTTGTGGATAAATATCAATGAATCAAAATCAAAGGCTTTATATAAACTATTCTGAAAAAAATATAACTGATAGTTTGTCTATACTACACAAGCCGTTACCAGTGGAGTTCAACCAGGTCTGTTGTAAGATATCAACTCACTGAAGACAATGGTGTACGGTGGTGCAATTTTGTGGATCAGCTGAAGTTAGACATTATTACCATTGGATACCGGCCGGCTCAGTGGTCTAGTGGTTAAGCTCTTGGTGCGAGATTGATAGGTCCTGTGTTCGAATTTTGCGGGGTGCGGGATCGTGGATGAGCACTGCTGAAGAGTCCCATAGTAGCACGAAACGGCCATGCAGTGCTTCCAGGTTTTCCATGGTGGTCCAGCTTCAATTGACTCATGACTTCAATCTGTGAAAATTCTTCATTTGTTTATCAAACGTTTTTTACATAACAAAACATTGATTACACCAAACTATAATTATGTTTTTAATCAATTCACTCTATATTACTTAATCAATATACTTATAAAATAAACATTGAACTCATAGTTTTAAGCATTTTATTAGAAGAGATTGAATAAATGTTTTTGTAAGGAGATTATGAGTATCATTTTTTATCATTAGTCACTGGAAAAACAAGTAATTTAAGTAGAAAAAAATACCCATGTATTTGAAAAAAGGGTTCATGTTGGTCTTCTACATTTCACCTATCTTCAATGTAACATTTATGGAATGTTATGTAAAATAAGTTATTGATTTGTATTTTTATCAAATAAATAAATAAATAATTTGCAAACATTTAGTAATTATCATATAGAAACACATTGCGATACACGCGCAATTGAGTTCGTTCTCATTTAACTCGGTTAAGCCCTTTTGTTAACTTATTTAGCGGACAAAGTCATCCGCACTATAACAACTTATTGTATCTTTATTATTGTTGAGCTTGTGTGAAATATGTATGCTTGAACATTGCTTATCGCCTACTCATATATTCATTCTGCTAGTTTTATTATTAGCTGCTTAATTGATTCGATGATGCATTCATTTCCCTATATATATTTAACACTCGACACTCTATCAGTTCGCTCACTCACTCATTCGCATCATTGTTAATAAAACTGTAGTCGCTGCTTCTCTTTGCCTTCTGATTTCAACACTGTTGAGGGTTATATGATAACAGTTACGAGGGTGATTGGTCAACGAAGCACAGCCACTACAAACCAAGAAAAAAAGTATTTTCATTTGAATGATTTTTCATAAATTTAAACAAACTTAAAAAAATAATATTTTCAGAGTAAGATTGTACTTCGCTGCTTTCTTATCAGTTACATACAAGATGTGTTAAGCAGACCCAGGAAATTCCTCAAAAAGACAAAATGCCCAAAGGGGTCCCAAAAAAAGCGCTGAGAAACATTTTATCCAATTAAAATTCAATAGACGTTTCTCAGAAACATCTAGAAAGTGAAAATTCACTTGTCAATTTTCTGATTCGATGATTATCTATCCTGCTAATATGTTTAGAAAGGTTTCAGAACTTTCCAGAAGCCCAAAGTCATCTGAAATGCTAGAAATACTCTTGATTTTTTGCACATGATCTAACATTGGAGCAAAACGTTCTTCCCATTTTTTATGACTTTTCTTTCGTATTCAAGTTACCGTGTAGATTTAGCCTGGGGGTTACTAGGAGAGTTTAGGAAACTGAATCAGGCGTTCAATTAAAAGATTTATCAGTATGAAGTTTAACTACTTCAGAATATACGAACATATAAATTGTTTATCAACGAACAGTTTAGATATTAATTTATTTTGTTAACAAATTAAATTGAAATTAACGTTTTATTGTATTTTGTTGATAAATAATAAACATTATAACAACAAGATATTGAAGATTATGATTCAATTATGTAATATTATAAAAGATGATTGTTATAACTTGTCAATTGAATGCTACTTGAAGTTTCGTGTATTTAGTGAGATTTGTGTCGTTGGTGAGGAGCAGGGATATAGTTTCTTCCAACCCAAAGTCTACGAGAACTCATCGAATTATGCCTAACAACATATCTTCAGTTCAACAACAAAATCTACGAACAAACGAAAGGGACACTAATGAGATTATCAATATCAGGACTGATCGCAGAACCAGTGATGCAAAGACAAGAAGCCGCGATATTACCAGTGATCAAGCCGAAAAATTGGATTCGCTATGTAGACGACACATTCGTCATCGTCAAAATAATGAGCTGGAAAACACTTACAAACTGATCAACGACGTTTTCGATGGCATCAAGTTCACAATGGAACAGGAGTCAAACAACAGACTATCATTCTTGGATATATTGATCACTAGGACCAAAACAGGAAAACTGGAAACTCAAGTGTATTGGAAACCGACCCATACGGATCAAATTCTCAACTACAATAGCAACAACCCAAGAGCTCACAAAATCAACTGCGTACACACTTTGTTCAAGAGGGCGAGGACACACTGCAGCACACTGACAGCACGAAAAAATGAAGAGCAATACCTGAAGGACGTATTTTAAAAGAACGGCTACCCAATCAGCTTCATCAAAAAATACCAACCGCGCGTAGTATCAGAACCCAAGTCAAGCACAGAAATCAACAGAAGGATCGCCCTACCATACATAAAAGGAATATCAGAAACCGCAACGAGACTGCTGAAAACCTTCGGGATAGGTGTGGCACACAAACAGACAAAATCACTACAACCAATCCTATGCAAACAAAGGGATGAAATAACAAAGGAAAACAAATCAAACATCATCTACAAAATAAATTGTGCCAACTGCGAAAAACACTACATCGGACAAAGCGGAGACCCCCTTCACCTTTGCCTACATGAACATCAATTAGCAGTCAAACGCCATGATATATCCTCAGTTATATTAATACACGTGGACATCTGCGGACACTGATTCGATTGGGAAAATGTAGAAATCTTAGACAGAGGAAATTCCAAAAACACCAGAGAGTTTTTAGAAGCCTGGTGCTTAGGTCAATCAGTAAACAACGAACATATTGAAATCAATCCAATTTATCAACCAATCAGGAAAATCATGCACAAATGTAGGAACAAAAGTCAAACCAATGGGAGACACAACCAAAACAAAGAAGTAAACAATGACAAATTTAAGGTCAATAAGAACCAATCAACCTCGAGGTGTACAGATCAAGCTGTGAAACTCATATTGAGAAATTCGAACACGTCACTTCTATCTGAATTTTGTGCTGATGATGTCGTTCAGAAGAACGATGAAAGCTCCACGATCAAACCGTCCAGCTCAGAGAACAAAAATCCATCAAGAAGATTTATTAACCCCAAAACACGACGACTCTAGTCGAAAATACACTCAGTTATATATTGATTGTACACCCATTTTGATTAATAATTAGGATGAAATCACATATATAACAAATCACATAATGAGCATAGTTCATGTCAATGGAATACAAGAATATCGTATATTATACAAGAAAACAAAACAACTACTACACTGAATGATTATCATATTGAATCAAAACGGAAGTAATCTTGAACCAAAACTCATAAAGAGGAAATCAATCGAAAATTGACTTTTCTTTCCATCATATCATTGATAACAATTAACTTCTGAATACAATATAGAACATATTCGACATTTACAGTTATTGTATTTTATTTCACTTATAAACTATTTAGTGTATAAAAACAATAAAGGTTTTTAAACTTGAAATTATAGTGAGAATTATTTTGTATTTTTTAAAGTTCGCATACTTTTTGTTTAATTCTAAGCAACACATTACTAGAATTAACTTGATTAAAAGACATGGTCACGTGTGACTCAATAATACGATTGTTGATTTAGTGAGTTTGTCAGTTGTGAGAAATGGTTAAGTTGTCCCTATATTATATGAGTATTTGATGTTGGTTAGATGTCTTATTTACAAAGACATTTTCCGCAATAGGCAACTGTAAAATGTATTTGGATTCTATGATTGTTCCCAAATTTAAATACAATTTGTTACCATGACAAGTACAAATGTGTGCGACTTAATTAAAGGTTTTAACTGTATACTTTTATCACTATTTGTTTATTCGGTTTATAATACATATATAAGTAAATAGAAATGTACTCTACATTATCTAACTTTGATTTTTATGAAAGTAATATGCATCATTATTATATTTAAAATGTGCATTTCAGTACTCAAATGGTTATATGTGCCGTCTATGGCAAATATGTTATGTTTATTATATCAAAGCTCAATTTATGATTTGTTCATGGTATATTTTTGGCATTTCAGTATTTATTATCAGTTTGTATATTAATGACAACTTTGTGTTCATTTGGATCTATTCTTTTTGCTGGATTATATACAATAACTAATTCTATGGTGTAAAACCATTTCACTAGGACTTTTTCATGATCTATAATTTTCATTAGTTCATATTTGTATTAGTTTAGTGGAAAATGGTTATTTTGATGGAGTTTTGTTCTCTAAACTGGATGATTTGGTCGTGGAGCTTTCATCGTTCTTCTGAACGACATCATCAGCACAAAATTCAGATAGAAGTGACGTGTTCGAATTTCTCCATATGAGTTTCACAGCTTGTTCTGTACACCTCGAGGTTGATTGGTTCTTATTGACCTTAAATTTGTCATTGTTTGTGCTGATGATGTCGTCCAGAAAAACGATGAAAGCTGCACGACCAAACCATCCACCTCAAAAAACAAAACTCCATCAAAATCATCCACCTGAGCTACACATCTTCTCCACCATCTCAAAATGATTATTTTAGAATCAATGTAGAAATTATCTTTTTCCGAAAGTTTAAACTCAGGTCTTTTATCACAGTGTTGTTGCAATATCATTACATAATAATTTTTACTAATCTGATTATATCTGTAAACCGCCAACCATTTTGTACTAATTTTCATAATATATTTTATACATTGTTATATTCAACTTTTATTTGCATCATCTTTAATAGGATGCATTGAGACAATATTGTGAAAGCCTTTGGTACTCTGGATTAGAATACAAGCGTCCGACTCATGAAGAAATTGTAAGTGTTAAATTACATCAATAATCGCTACTTTGTACATCAGTTATTATAGTTTATATTCATTTAAGAATCTTATTTATTCTAGCATCAATAAGCCTTAACGATAATAGGTAGTTATCCTTAATGCAAACGAGACTATTCAGCAAAACATCGAATAAAAAGCCAAATCCATATGTTCTAATAAAAGGCAAACACATGTAGTTGGTAATACTTTGTTCTGTATTTCTATTGTTTATATCATTGTAGTACTTCGAAAGTTGACTGATTGTTAATGGTTCGAAGTTATATATAAAATCTACTCCAGTGATTTAAATAAATGTTGAATTATCTACAATGAACTCATTTAATCATATGATAAACACACTGATACTAGGATAAAGGTTTATCATTTATTCTGAATGCTTTTTCATATTTACGAATATCGATGGACAAAATTATTACCCAATAGATTATTATTTCTTATTCGAATGTTTATGGGTGGTTAGAATATGTAAATTCCGCTAATTGATCTAAAATTCTGTTCGAAGAATTACTATTTAATATTGATTTCATGTTGAATTTATTTATATCTATGCTCTGATTCTTTTATTCATCATTAATGTAGCTTTAAGTTTATACAAAGTAAATTGAATGACCAATGTTAATATTTAACCAGGTCTGTTGTGAGATATCAGCTCACTGAAGACAATGGTGTAGGGTGGCGCGATCTCGTGGATTAGTTGAAGTTAGACATTAACACCGTTGGGTGCCAGCTCAGTGGTTTAGTGGTTAAGCGTTCGTGCGAGAGACTGATAGGTCATGGGTTCGAATCTGGCGGCGGGCGGGATCGTGGATACGCACTGCTGAGGAGTTCCATACTCAGATGAAACGGTCGTTCCGTGCTTCCAGGTTTCCCATGGTGGTCTGGCTTTAATTGACTCATGATTTCAACTATTGAAATTACTAAAATCTCTACAAAACCCCTTCTTAATATTCAATAGTTAAATGATACTAACTCAAAATGGTGTCTGATTCTGGTTAAAATTATTAAAAAAAAACAATTGTCAAGTTATGTAACTAAATCACTTAAAAAAAGCACGTTAATGGTCAACTATATATCAATTTACACAGATATACACTTCACATAGTGGTGATGTATGCTGATGTGTTTAAAAATCACCATTTGATTCATATAAATGTTCTGCATTGGTTTTTATTGTTGTTTAATGTTTACTGTCAACAAATAAATGTACTATATTGTTCATTGATAATTTATCACTTGATAAAGTATATTTAAATTGAATTCGATAAGACAAGATTCTAGATATCAAGTGTTAGGGATTCTATAAATCCATTTTCATTCATACATTATGTAACCATGTAAACAATATACTAAATGTAAATTGTAAATTCATGAACAATGAGCTGTATTACGAGTTCAATCGATTATTCATTAACCAACCGATGTAAATTAATAGTGTAAAGTATCATTTTAATGAATTCAACTGATTATTTGATTTGGACATTACAAGTTCTTCGTAAATATAACAAATGCCATTCCTAAATGAAATGATTAATATACATGCCAGATATGACCAGATGATATTATGCATTATTTTTTTAATACATTGAATCTTTTAAACAAATATGACACTGTAAACAAAGATGGATAGTGGCTAGCAGTTGAATTCAGGACGCACGTTCCGCCCTACTTGAGACTTGTCAGCTGTATGTACCTGTTAGCCATCATCCATACTTGCTTATAAAGCTTGTGACTTAAAGCAATATCAAGACAGTCCGCAAAGGATGCACATATGCCAACAAGAGACTGATCAACTGGAGTTCTAAACAACAATGGAAAGATACAAGCAAAACAATACAAAATGAATTCAAGCATGACACTATTTTGTAATCTTTCAAAATGATGATGGTTGAAATATTTTAATGTTAAGTTTTCCCCAGATTCATAAGTTGTCAGAGTAAAAGGCATTTATGAAAAGTGGATGTACTTCGACAACAGTGAAGTCATCTTAATTATTTTACGATTTTGCAGTATGTTTAAATGTAGTCAGCTTGTGATGGAAATTTAGTTTTCATAACTGTACACTTGTGAATAGATAGTGAACAGCATTTCCAGTTTCAGAGGTCAACCCTTTAAAATAGGGTTCATTATTTGATAAGGTGATGTACAACTAGACATTTACATATGATTTTTGCATAGTAGAATGTATTTTGATTATTGGGAAACACCAAGAAAATCGTTAGAATCCTTGTTCACTGACACATTTAAAGATATAATGTGGACTTGAACGTGTAGGTTTTTAGCATTTTGTCTATTTATCTTTAGCCTTGATGAAACTAGTGTTTCAGTGGCAACTTAACCTGTATTATCTAGTGTTTATTCTGGAGACAATAATCCTGACCTATTCTGATATCTAGTTAATGTACAACAACTACACTTTTCACCGATATTACTCAAAGTTGATTACTTGGTTCAAGATTTATAAAATGTGTGACTGTTTGATGTTGCTCAACTTCAAGAATTCCATAATGAAAATATTCATAATATTATTCAACTTTCAAACCATTCACTTGGATTTAAATAAAAATCGTCACTACTCATGATAACTTTGTATAGTAGTCGGCAAAGATAAAAGCACAATCAGTGACATCACAACTTTGAGTTTTTTATTATCAATGACCAAATATTACCTTTGTAAGGTGCTCAAAAATGTTTTGAGTACTTTTTATACTATAAGGGGTTTTTGTGGATATCATAATAATTTCAATAATTGAGATCATGAGTCAATTGAAGCTAGACCACCATGGAAAACCTGGAAGCACTGGATGGCCGTTTCGTCCTAGTGTGGGACTCTTCAGCGGTGCATGTCCATGATCCTGCCTCGCGAGATTATAACCCATGACTTATCAGTCTAGCGCACGAACGATTAACCTCTAGACCACTGAGTTGGCATCTAACGGTGTTAATATCCAACATTTTATAACAAAAATCGTTTCAAAAGGCATAGAAGATGTTATAAAAAGAAATGTTTTTATGGTAAAACATAATCTAATTAGGTAAAAGTCAGTCACTTGTTAATATCTTTTCGAAATATACATAATTTACAAGTATGTAAAAAGTAATTTGACCATGATATCGATCATATTAAGAGCGATGACGAGACTTTGTCAACAACATTACAAGTTGGTTACATCATACCATAAAGAGCCGACTACTGACTATTAGATTTCGATATGACAGTTCCCTGTTATTGGCAAGTCTGTTACGAAATTTATAAGTTTCGTATTTTATTAGGTGAAGTAAAACGTTTCATGAATTAAAAATTACAAAATATTGGAACTTTTATTCAATTGGGTGATTACACTACATAACTATTGATTATGGTATCACCTGTAGTATTACTGTTTCCATTTCTTTTTGCCTGGTTTAATAAATTTTAGTTAGCCAAATGTGGAATACTCTTCTATGGGCAACCGATACCAGTAAATATTCTTTATGCATTTTACTATCAACTGGAAAATTTATTCGCCATGAGTAAAGTGAGTTCAGAGTCTGGTCAATTATAATACAAGAAAATATTATACTGTTTTTTTTCCAACAGATATCAATTTACTTTGTGGTGGTTTATTGGGTTATTTCATTGTTGGTATTTTGGAGTGAATTTTGATTAGTCTTAATTGTCATATAGTGGATCTTGGTGAATTTGTTTAATGTAGCCATTGGACCACAAGAATTTTTATCATAAATGAAATATAGGAAGGAGTGAAATACGGAACTCCCATTTTGTTTCAATTGGGACTCGTCATCTGGTTATGCCTGAATTTCAGAGTAAACGTCTCCATGATTCGAACTCAGTACGTTTCGCATTAAGCTGCAAATGTATTATTCACCGAGACTTATCAAAATTTAGTCAGAGATGTCAAAATTGGGATAGTTCAAAAGACCTACTAAAACTTCATTAAAAACTCATATTCATTTCAAAAGTAAATAGGTGTCTGGATTCAGTAGTTAAGTGGATAACAATCTGGTTGTTTGAAACAAAAGGTCCCGTGTTTAAGTTCCGGAGTGAGAATCAACTTAGATACAAATAAATCTGCCCGGTATTAATGATCTGATCGTAAAGCATTTTTTTCGATGAAATAACAATTAACTTTATTCTTAGACAAGCGATACCAGTAAAATGCATTTGTCTCAAAGTGTCATTTCTTAGTTTCTAGTGAGTAATGAATGGATAGTTTGAGATTAAATAGTAGAGGTATCTGTATCAAAACAGTAAAAACAATCTTTGAGGAAATTAATTGATTTTGTAGTACTTTGTGACGATTGTTATTTTTACTTAATCTATAAAAATGGAAACATTCATAAAAGTATTGGTGCTTACTAGTTTACATTTCATTTATGTCATTATAAAGTATATTTTTCGCAATGGTTTTCTCAAATCAATGGTAAAATAAACCATGGTTTAATTTAATTGTTACGTACTGACTAATACATTTGGTGTTCATATTCATTTACAAGTAAGTTTTTGAAACGACCTAGCAATCATGTTTACATAGAAACTCCCCTACTTTCATGTTATACTGCTCGAATAAAACATGAATTATGATTCAATAAAAATTCAGATGTTCCACTTTTGACTTGGTTTGTCACATAGATGAAAAACTTCTCGCTAGAAGCCGTTACTATGACGTATTAATAATCATATCATCTTGGCTTCAACAGATGTTCTTGTTATACAATTATGAATTCTAATTTTGTGGGTGCATGAGATATCATGATAGGCTTACAACCTGTCGTGATAACATAAATACTGGAGATCTCTAATTGAAACATTGAACTTATTGAAATTTTCCCCTTCCTGTCCACATTTTGAAAATAACGAAAAATAACTATATTGAGGTTCATGAACTTAATATACGGTGGATGACAAAAATAGTTGTGATACTTGAATTGATCGTCAACTTTTTCAGTTAAAACGAATTATTACATTTAATCTTAATATTTTATCATCTATTAGATTATACATGTTTTGACTGAGCCAGCCATTTAAAGTCCAAAATTCAAATAAGATTTCTGTCGAATATTGAATAATAATCTAAAGATACATTTTCATATAAACTGACTTCAATGAGAAAACCAAGAAATCAGTGATGCCGATTTATAATGGAACTTAATTTTACATTTGGAAAAGTTTTTACAAACTGAATTATGATGATATGAATCATGATTATTCAACTATAAAAAATATCTTTTATGAATAACCTGTAAACTGTATTTGTGGATAATTGAGACCTTATTTCAAACGATTATTTTCAAGAAGTGTCGATGTATTTCATGTCATGATCAATGTTCGAGAACTCATAACTCGATAGTTATATGCAATTGCAAAGAAATCTACCAATTAGATTTCACTTCTATGATGACTAATGGACAAAATATATACCTACATTATTGAGGTAGTTCAGGTTTGAATAACACCAATGTACAATAACTAGTAATGAAAAAGTTATTTAATCAGTAACCGAAACATTTAGTAACTAATCCATAAGAATAAACTAGGTTTAGAATAGTAACAAAAGATGGTATAGAGGTAAACCTAGTATTTTGATAATTTGTTGTGAAATAGACCATGGTGTCGTATAATCTATTCATTATCTAAACCTTTCTTTATTAGACACAGAATCCAATAATATATAAGTGTTAAATCATTATCATGGTTATTAACTATAGGTAAAAAAAGCAAGGATATCTACAAGAAAAGTATTAATAGATATTTCATTTGCGCTATTTTAAATGATCTTTTTGTTGTTGTTCTTGACTGAAGTTTAATTTGGCATATGAACACTGTGTGAATCGCGCTAATACATTCATATTGTTACATATTTATCTACAGTAGATAGAATGTGACTTGTAACGGAATTCAGAATGTACAATGTATTCTATATGATAATTAACCATCATATCCATTGCATAAACTTCTGTCTATTTAGACTTATCAATTCAGTGAATAACTTGTTAAGCATTCAAAATGTAAATTATTGAGATTGAGTACTCATATAAACAACAACATTGGGATATAAGTACATCCATTTAATGAGCTCTAAAATAGACAAAAACATAAGTCCTATATTTCATATTTGAGCACATTTCACTTATTCTATTATCATACATATTTATCTCTTATGAATTAATTTTAAACAATGTAACTATCATATTTGTGCTAATCAATTAGTAAATTGTATCATTTAAGGACAATAGAAAAACAACCGACCATTAAATAAATAAACAAACTTTCTTTTCACATAAGATATTCTTCTTAAAAGTTTATTGATATATTGAACATTTAACACTCATATATAATACTCATTGGAACTTTAAATGATTCAATAAATTTCTAAATTTTATATTGTATTCTTCAACAATTTCTTTTTTGACATAGAACTCACTAAAATCCTGAATTCATATTACCCTCTATTATACTTTCAAAATGATTAAGGCATTTATAAAATGATACATTTAAACAAGTGTATAATGTGTTACATTGTATATTGTACATAAATGTGACCTTAAAATTGAATAGTTTTATATTATGAATGTTTAAATGTTAATTTTATTAACTGTGAATACCAAAAAAGAAAAGAGAAAGAAAAGAAGAAAAAAAAAGAGAAAATTAGTGTCATAAGAATTAGATTAAATAGAATAAACTGTCTTTATTAATATGAATGAATGAGAGTCATATTAATTCATAATTATTCTTCTATTAGTTTTCTTGATGGAATTATTTGAATATCTTCTAAGTTCTTAAATGTGGGAATAATGAATGACTTTTAAAATCTATCATGTTTGTATTATATATTGTATATATATTACTTAGTGTAGAGAGTTAGATTTCATTGTTTTAGTAAACACATTGATATTCAGACAATATACATAAATCAAATAAAGAACTATGAAGTCAATTATGCCACAGAAACCTCTTGAATTTTACAATGAAAAAAAGCACAACATACAAAAACGTTCAAATATACGGGAGAGCTCCGTATGCTATTAGGCATAAGTAATAATCATTACACTTTTGATTACCTAGATGTGATATTTTGATTTATATGCTTTACATCGGACCTATACCTTCATTTTTATTATATATGTTATTATATATATAAATCATTTAAATTAAGATGTGACATTGGTATAAAGTGTAATGGTATAAACAATAATGAGTTATCGATTTTTACAGTTTTACTTCAAGTGTTTTAACTCTCATAGTTTACATTACGAGTGGATCTTTGTTAATTATTTATTGGAAACTATAAAGCATTAAATAATCACAATTTTACTAGGGATCGAGACTATAATTTAAAGTTTTGCAACGAGTGCTTAACTTTCAAACCAATGATTCTCTATACAATGGTGTACATGATGTGTATAGGGACTGTTGAGGACCACATAATTAAACGAAACATCTGTTAGTGCATGGTGGTTTTCAATAGTAATTTAACTAAGATCATATATGTGATGTAAACTAGGAGAATTTAACAATTTCAATTGTTGAGATCATGAGTCAGTTGAAGCTAGACCACCATGGAAAATCTGGAAGCACTGGATGACCGTTTCGTACTATTGTGGGACTCCTCAGCAGTGCGCATCCATGATCCCGCCTCGCGGGACTGACTCATGACCTCAACAATTGAAATTACTAAAATCTCAACTCCAAAAACTTATCTTTTAAGTCTGTTATGAAATCACAAGATCGTATCTCATCTGACGAAACAATTATAATTGGAAATATTTATTCGAAACATTTAACCTCTTTTTCGTTTTCTTATGACCAACACCCATCATAATGATATTCATCCCTTGCTTTGTCAAGATGTAACCAATTCTTTCATGTATCAACTAATTAGTTTTCTGCTGAATATTTTCACTGTTAATTAAAATTCTATCCATTTTAACAAACTGACAGAAATCATCTACATCACACACATACACATAATTTCTAAAAAGCCATAATTATTGCAAAAACACTTACATAAATGTTAGAACTATTATCTCTAATTTACATATATCTGCTCAGCTGTTATTAACAGTAACAGAACAAGTTGCGGTCATGACACCAGATGCAAACTTATCTCGCCATCTTATTGATTTTCTTCTGACAAGAAATTATATCTAATGTTTTTTACTAGTTCGTTTTAGTTTCCAAGCCATTAATATGTTAGATTTAATGTATGCTGTCATTCATTTCATAAAGCGCCTACATCAAAAGTGATAATACATTTTGTTATTAAACCCTTCACAGTACAATATAATCCATGTGTTAATCAAGTCATCAAACTGTAACAGAGTTTATATCACTGGTTGAAATCATGAGTCATTTGAAGACAGATCACCATGGAAAATCTGGAAGCACTGGACGGCCGTTTCGTCCTAGTATGGGACTCCTCAGCAGTGCACATCCACGATCCCGCTCCCAGCGAGATTCGAACCCAGGGCCTATCATCTGCTCACTAGTGAATGACTTTAAGAGGCATCTCTTGGAGTTATAGTGAGAAGTTGTTACCAGTGGAGTTCAACCAGGTCTGTTGTGAGATATCAACTTACTGAGGACAATGGTGTAGGGTGGCGCAATTCCGTGGATTAGTTGAAGGTAGACATTAACATTGTTGGATACTGGCCGGCTCAGTGGTCTAATGGTTAAGCACTCGCGTGCGAGATTGATAGATCCTGTGTTCGAATCTCGCGGCGGGCGGGATCGTCGATTAGCACCGCTGAGGATTCCCATACTAAGATGAAACGACCGTCCAGTGCTTCCAGGTTTCCCATGGTGGTCTAGCTTCAATTGACTCACGATTTCAATCTGTGATACTAGATTAGCTTAAAGATATGTGTAAATAAATAACAAAAGTTATTTTATGTAGAAGACGTTAAATAAAATCAAGTTTGTATTAAAGTATTTTGTTGTATAACTTCATAACAATGCTAATTACTAGTTATTATTAGTTTTGCACATATATATTTTTCTTGTTTGTATGTTCTGATTAGTCAACAGTATTCCCATACTGTTTTTAATCTAGTCGTTCGATATTACTAACAAAACAACTTTGTATTTGTATTATGCATTTGTACGATCTTGATAAACATTAAACAAATTAAACCTTAACCATAGTCAGCAGAGATTGAAAAGGTTTCCTCTCAAAGGATAACTTTGTTATCTACTTTAAATTAATAAACAGTATAGTTTATTAAGATGTTGTTTTTTCCATAAACAAAGTCAAACCTGTAGAACATTCAAATACTGGCAGATATCAAATAAAAACGGCGAGACTATAATTTATGAACGACCTTTGAACGAATCCTAAGTGACATTGATAAATATTAGTCAATCATCAAACAGTAAGTATAGAGTAAAAATATATTATACAAAACCAAAGGAATAAAGTGGATACACTTCTTATACGTGGTTCAAAAAATTGTCAACTTTAGAAAAATGTTCAGAGGTTCTAAAATCGTAATGCATGCAGTAGAAGAAATCATCCATACAGCTACAGAATAGTCGGCCTCTGGATCCATGATAAAGTCTCAAAAACTCCTTCAGCCTCGACTACATAGCTTCAATATTGTTTGTGTGCACTCCGGTTGTTGAGTGCACAAAATGCTACTTGTGGATAACGACACGATGCACATCACCAAGCCTATGTAGGAGTCTGTACGCTCTCCAAACATCTGTATATATTGTAGTACCTGGCTGTAGCTAGTGTTACTGGTGCTTTTGTTATCCAGTTCACAATAATTGTTATAATTTGCCTTAGTTAGGAATTATACAGAGGGTTTTCATCACGAACTGACATCAGCTATAATGCCAGAAATTTACTTAGCCAAATCGATGGTAGGCTTTCGCGCCAAAATCCGAGACCTGTAAAATTATACCTGATCGATTCGTCCACAAAATATAGTCTCGCCGTTTTATTTGTTACAGCCCTTCAATTATCACGTTTTGTACCAAATTCCCTGGGAACCGACCGTACGTTAGCATGAAGCACTGAAGTTGGCACCATGACTTTGAAATCTCTTAAACGCTTCTGATTGTCTCGTTCATAAATTAGAGTCTCGACATAAAAAACTTTTGGTTTGAAAACTACCATAATCAATTTAAAAAAATACACAACTGAGTATTCTCATTACTCTGTACTTAATTTTTTTTAAAATTTCTATTCAGACAATCCATGAATGTTTGTTCTCGTTTTTTTGTTGTTTTAATGAATTAAGACTTCTGGTAATTTTCAATATTTACTGTTAGTGTCAAATATCATTTATCAAATTACAGGTTTAATTTTAACGTGCCTTTTCTATGTATATTTCAATGTTTCATTTGTGACTATTGATTTCATAAGTTATTTACTAAAATGTTAAACATACTAAACATTGATAAAATGAATATGAGACTAAATCCAAAGTTCATTTCATCTTAATATAATTACAAACATAAATATCTAGAAACATCTATGTGTTACTTTAAATGCTACATTTGATAGTAAGATGAAAAAGTAACTTACTCATTTTTTGAGTTTGAAGTCACTACTCTAGAATATATTCCAGTCATATGTGTTTTGACTGCATAACAATGCTAGAGACTGCCTACATTGGTAATGTAGACTTATATATGAATTGAGTAGGTGAGTCATTTGACTCGCTGGTACTGTAGTTTACTAACATCTACCAGATTGTGTAAAGTTCACGGTGGTTCATTTTGTTCAGAATTATATTCAATTTCAAAGAAGAGGACGTTTTCAGGAGAATTATGATATGTCACTATAAATACTGCTGCCTAATATTCAATATATTGAGGTTTAAGTCTAGATATAGTTTCTGAAGAAAGCATGGATAGAATAAAATAAGTTTATTTTATTGCATAGCGTCTTGTACACGCTATACAAACCGACTAATTTCATCAAAATAATTAGCGGTATTCAGTGAATCAATGAAAAAAGTTTGACTCCGAGCAAAATTTCAAAACTCATTGTACAATAATAAATGGTAAGTATACCTTTTTAAGTTACATATAATGATCTATCCTTAAAACTATTTACATTTAATGGTTTATTTGATGTTTGTTTCTGATCATTACATTTAAGGTAATTCATTCCATTCGTACAGTTATGGATTGGTTAGATGCAACAGAAAATCATGCCTCAAGAATATTATCAATATATGAAATGAATTCACAATTAAATGTAAGTTCACATCTATTGACAATAATACATAAATTCTTTGAATGTTAATTTGATTTACTAACTAAAAAGTACATACTAACAGAATACATTGATAGGACAGTTTTATTTATAAAGTTGTTGTAACTTGTGAGCCTGTGTGCCCTGTTTATTGTCTAACGCAACGACATCGCCGATCAGAGAGCAGTGAATTATCAATCGAACCAGTGACGCATAAAACACGTGCGAGCAGCCTAGAGTTCGGATTGGTCTTGCTTCCTGTCTAGCCCAGCCAGTTAAGCCCAGAACACCAATCTCAGCTTCTGCAATATGAATCATCTATTTCAAACATACTCGGTTTATATACCAATCAAACAGACCACAACGTACCATAAAATAGAAAATAACATTTGTACAATATTTGGTTAAAAGTGGTTGTGAATGAGGGAGATAGTAATTAATAGATAGGCCATAACTCAAGAATGGTAAATCGTATAGTAATAGTCTATGGGTCAAATTAAAACTTATAATAAGAGCGACATGAATATGAACAGTTTAGTTACATAACAATTATACGATAAAAATATACTCATAGTATTGGTCCATAAATGGATCTCAAAAACTACCATTCATTATTCTTATCGGGATATAACAGAAGTTGAAATATTTAGCAATATATCTGAAAACTTATTAAACTGAAATAATGTCGATGATGTAATAAGAACACGAAGATTATCAGACCTATGTGGTGATATATTAGTGCAATACATTTCGAACAATTTGGTCAGACCTAATACACTTGTTAAGAACATTTATATATAAAAATAAAAAGGTCAACTAGACTAGTTCTGATAATCTTCATCTTCTTATTACATTACTAAAATTTATCAAAAGGATTAATTGCTTTGAAATAATGTCATCTATTTGAAATTTTTTGAGGATTATTATGTTACGTAATAGTTCAATATTTTCTGAAACTTAAGTGAGCAACTTCTCGGGGACAACTATTTAAAACCTTTAGAGTAATGATATAACATTGCCAATTCCATTCGTTTCTTTCCGAATGCATTTTTGTTTATTCCATTAGATTCATTTTCATTGTCAACAGTTGTTGTATAGTTTGTTAACTTGAACCGATACATAAATTAGGCAAGTTCAAACAACCTAAATTGAATAATTTTAATTGTCTAGATGTCTCCTCGACATATACAACACAAACAGTGAATTCATCGAATAATTATACGTTTACTTTCACTGATGCTTAGTTCATTCTTTATGTCCTTTCATTGACTCCAATATACTTGAACAATGATGATGCTATTAGAATGTATAATCTGTTTAACTTTATATACCTTCTATCGGTTATTCACTGTTGGCCCCTATTTCATATCCACTGTTTGCTACTTTCTTTACAAAGTCTTTACAGTCAATTGTTTTTCTACTGAACTTGAAAATAATTCATTTTAATGGTATTTGTTTAGATAAGCATGCTTAGATCTAGTAATTGTCTTTTTTTATTAGTCCAGATATTTGTAGAACTGCATTGAATTACTAAAGATAGTGTTACGTATAAATGTCATACGTTAAATAATCTCAGTGACTGACATCTGAATAATTCCACCGTTTCGTCCAACAATCTTGTCTATATTTCTTCAAAGCAATTATAACTAAAATAATCAGATAATAAAGGACGTTCGACAATCAAATCTATACTAAAAACCTACCTAGCCATATTTATATACTCTGGTCATTTTGATTTTAATTGAGTTTGAAGAAGTCTAGACACGTTTGTTGGATGAAACGTTGGAATCGCTGAGATTATTTCAAATAGCACAAATAATGTCTTCTATATAATTGGTGTATAATTAATGTCACATTAATCGTTCAAATACTGTTGAATATTTGTATGAAGATAATATCATTCGGGTTATTCGTTCGACTTTGTTTATGAAAATTGTCGGCACTTTACGATCAAACACAGTTCTTGCAAACTTCATTTTTATAACATACAATTAAGGTTTCAAACTCATTATGACCTTATGCTATACGATTTCCAGTATGTCATTATTATTATATTTGTAAGGATTTTTTCACATAAATACATATTATGTTTTATTATTTCTTAGAACAGCATTTTGAAGAAACATTGGCAGATCATTTAAAAGCACTTAAATTATGTGATCGTTTATTGGATAATCTCGGTTCAATTTATCATCGTGTACGTCCTTTAAAAAAAGGACAAACTATTCTAGCTAGAGCTTTAACAGATTTCGAATCAAAACAGGTAATTTTATGCATATTTTTTTATTAATTTTAAAGGCAAGTTGAATATTTAATATGAGTAATCTTATTTCAAGTCGACTTAAATATTAAAAGTTAATACAAATGGTATTTCACTGAAGGAAACCTCTTTTCCTCTGGTTCATTGTAATAATAAAGTTAAGGAACAACATACTTCTGTTTGAGAATTTTATGACTCAGTATTCAAAACTCAATCAAATAATTCTATCTGTGAAGCACATTAAAGAACAGAGGGTTTATGTTTTCATATAATATTTAAATCATGATAATTATCAGTCTGTAACATACAGATGATATGCTTGGATGTTATTACGAGTTCACCTTACTCGATAAACGGAACGAAGGTCAAAGATACAGATCCGTTGTCCTCGGCCATGCTAACTAGATCAAGAAGTTTTGATGAGGCGTAGAGAATGTATTCTACAAGTACCTAGAAAATACGAGGTCACTAAACACGCAAATCAAGCTTATTTATACAATGATAGAAACGCCCTTGGAAGAGCCACAAAATAACGTACTAAAAATCCGTCAACCAATGACAGTCAAGGATTTCCGAGTGGGAAATGTAAGCTGTAGGTCAACTAAACGTCTTTTGGAACGAAAACACAACACTCAAATTTTCAGAATAAAATTACAAAATTAGGACCTTTTCCAAGTGAGTTCTGGGGATCTAACGTCCTTCACAACAGATATTCTGATTGATGTTGAAATAAGACTAGAATTTGAATCAAAACTCGCACTTTACTGTCAGTTTTTCTGTTTGGCTATCCAATGAGTGTGAATAACATTTCAGTCGCTGACTACTTTTACACCTGAAAGTGACATTTTCACATTTTCAATCAGTTACCTAACCAGGTTTTACAAAATCAACAAAAATAAAGTTAGTTAAAATTAGTGAGTGATGGAACATCAGGAAAACTCTGTAAGTAATCTCCGTATACATAGGTCAGTATAGTAACCGCAACCATTACGAAAGAAAGGAACGAATCATTCATTAATATCTATTCTAGATAATGTTTTTAGTGCTTGTGACAGAAATGCTCTGATTGGTTAGCTGTATACTTGCCATTCAAATGAACCCTAGTTACAGCACTTAGTGGTTCATGAATAACCGTAATTGAATAAGAAGCAATTAAGTCGAACAACCTTGTTTATTATTATTGATGGCTTTATTCAGTATTATATTTTCGGTACAACATAGAATTCTCAGAACATCATATTGTAACCCACGTTTAACTAAAACTTTTATCAACATTCTAAAGTTCTGTTTCAATCAATCGAGTGTACATACATAAATTATTCACATGATCATCGGTCATCAAACTCATAAACATACGTCTATTCATCCAATATGAGATGATCATCGAACTAAACAAGTGAACTAATCGAAATTATGATCACTATCATCAGAACTGGTATATTACAATGGTAATTCGATACCGGATGGAAAATCATTTAACTGTATTCTATTCATTTCGCCTTTCATTTATTGAACAGTCATAAATATGAATAAATCATAAAGAAAAATGCTTTTGTTTAAGATAACTGTGGCTAAAACACACTTGAAGTACAATTTTATGTTTCATTGAAACATTGAATTTCATAAATTTTAGTTAATTAAAAACGTAAGAGTGTACTTGAGAATTACTTCATGAATTTTTTAACATCAAAATAAACAATCTTCATTCATATGAACACAAAACTTATTTTAAGAATCAGAAGAGGTTTTGTGGAGATTGTAGTAATTTCAACAGTTGAGATCATGAGTCAATTGAAACTAGACCACCATAGAGAACCTGGAAGCACTGGACGGCCGTTTCCTCCTATTGTGGGACTCCTCAGCAGCGCGCATGCTCGACCCCGCCCCGCGGGATTCGAACCCAGGACTCATCAGTCTCTCTCCAGGCGCTTAACCATTAGACTACTGAGCCGGCCAGTATCCAACAATGTTAACGTCTAACTTCAACTAATCCACAAAATTAAGCGACACATCCACCATTATCATCAGTGAGTTACTATCTCACAAGTGACCCGGTTGAACATTTCACAATAAGTAATGTATGGTGTTGTGTAATTAAGTACACCATATCATATATGACAAGTGAATTCATGTGATGATTTCATCTGTTAATTCTAATGCTCATTTACAGTCGTCGAGGGAGAGAGAGAAAGTGAGAAAGATAAATTTTACAAGAATGTAAGAATGCATGCATTTGAAATTTTTGTTCTAGCAAAATGAAGTATATTTGTAGAAAGTGTAATTTTTAATTATTATTAATATTATGCAATAACCAAATGAAAGTCTACATGTTCATGTTCGAGCTATCTATGTACTGATACTACCAAATAACATGGAATAAAGTTCAGCCGTATTACCTAGTAGGGTTAAATAAAATAAAATCTAGGGATCACTGAAGATCTGTTACGTCTATCTGCATCATTATGTACTTAAAATGATATGTGTAATAAAACCCAGGATTTTCTAATCAAGACTAATGAGAATTGTGTCTTTAGATCGCTCACTAGCATATTCCTTAAATGAACATATTAGAGTTATTAACGTCTGACATAGATGTCTCCAAGTACACTCATTCAATCACTTTCATTTGGAATAATAAAACAAGTTATAGTACATGAAATAGAAGAATGACATTTTAATTACATAAAGAAAGTTGTTTAAACTTTTGTAAAACTTTATTATACCCCCTAAACTAGATCAAAATGAAATACTTACAATTTACTAACTATAATTTACATTAGTCATTTGATTATTCATATACAACTGATGTATGTCTTTTTTTAACAAATTTTCTTTTCTTTATACAGATGAAATGCAAGCTACATATGAATCACTTTTATAGGATCACATCCAATCAAAATCCTCATGCATGGCAGGTAAATTTATGCATTCATATGGAACGATATTTATACATTAGTTTGTCCCTAATATTACACTTTACAAAACATATTAAAATGACATGGAATCAGGTATTAATTGTGATTTGATTGGCCTAACTTATTTCTATTGATGCCATTAGTTTTGTTTCTGTCAGATTAATGAAATGAAGTTTTTTAATGTAAGTATATATGTCAGTTGAAAACTCCCAATCACTTCCTATGGTCTTTGTCGATTTGTTAATGGGACAATCTCTTCTGATTAAAGAGAATATGATTAGTTGCTAAGTTTAGAAGGCTTTTAGCAGAATTTACAATTCACTATTTATTTTGTGACTGATTAGAGTGAGGCGGTTTGTTAGGAATTACTTAGAATAAATTTATTGATGATTTACAGCACAGAAGTGAAAATCTGTCAAAAGATAATATAATCGGTGCATAATTGCCTAATAACCGAAGCAGTAATTTTAATAGGGTAAGACTTTAATCAAAAACTTGGAAAGCTTCAAGATACCACAGCACTTATTAATTAGGCTAGACAATGATGACCATTGGTATTTTGACTAAGTACTCAAGTTGTGTAGAGTCTACTGTAAAGCTTAAAGGACTTGGTCACAATTTTCTGTGAGCTTGTGATCGTACAGTGCTATAGTGTAACGAGTGAACACTATGCACGCCTTGAATTCTTTCCTGTTTGAAATAGTAGTACAGGTGATATCAATCTCTGATGATTTATATAAAATGTTTACTATTATCTCTATCGCTTACCTGCACTTCACAGAAAATTCAACTTCTTTTAGATACTACTTTTAGTAAATAAATAAATAATATTAAAAGAGAACTCAAAATGTTCTCTAGGTTATTATTTATGATGGTACAATCTTTATTTAAATGTTCTCATAGCACAAAATAAAATAGGTGGTTAGTATATACGAGGGGGATTGGTGAGCATGAATGCTAAGAGGAATGTAGATATATTGAGATTTAAGTTTAAATTACTACGGTTGTGTATACTACTTAGATTTGCATATATGTAGTATGCACATCAGTCGTAGGTGGAATGCCTGCAAGCAGAAGGTTGAGAAGATTTAGATGAATAGAAAAGAGAAGGAAACTGAAAACACCCATGATAACAACAGGAATGAATTAACATTGAAGTTTGTAAGAGACAATCTAAGAAGATGTGCTAATGATGTATTTGATATATGATTTTCACATATTATTAAACTACTGTGAGATTGTGCATTAAACAATAAATTAACCTTCCACATATGAATGTTCGTTCACTACGCAACCAGACAGGTCTTTGTAATTGAGTCAACCGTTGCTACTAGAATACTAAGAAAATGTCTCTGATTATACGAGCTCAGCTACATCTACTTTTATTTACAATGTACTTCTAAAATTATAGAAGTCGATAACCATTTGGTTTAACCGTTAAAGTTTCAGAATTATGCCGAATACAATTATTTTAATGTTTCATTTTTTATGTACAAAGATAAGTAATCCCGGACATGCGATTCCGTCACTATTCCTCGATGTTTCTACTGAGTTTGGTGAAAAACTAATTCTCAAACAGTAAGTTATAAATCTGAAATTATCTGTCATCAAATAGATATCCTATAAATTTGTCCCAAGGAGTTTTGATTGTAACATCAGTAATTGTAGAGCTGAATGTATGAAACTTTAGATCAAGAATTATCAAGTGGGAAAGACTGACATTTCCTCTTTGTTGCCTTGTTAAATTACATAGAGAAAATTCTTAGAACATTTACCAATAATTTGACTCACTAAACACCAAGCATTACAATTCAAAACATTCATACATCAAAGCATAGATCATATATTACAGTTTAACTTAGTAATACTAACGGCTGGTACTAAAGTGAATGTCAGCTGTCGATTTTTAAATAACTTTTTACCATTTGACTTGTTTAAACTACTAAATTTCTAAATTAAAAACATCATTTAGGCTTAGGTATTCAACGGTGCATTTAATTATTAAGGATTTAAATGAATGTGTCACAAAATATAAAAAGAGGAAAATAATTCTTTATTTGTTGAGTTGTTATGTCCTATAAAGAATCATTTAAGGGTATTTGGGTAAAAAATAAAGAATCACTAAATTCTCTCTTGTAGATCAATGAAGTCCTACTGAGTTGGACATTTTTTAAACTCTGAGTGAAATGTTATATGAGTATTAAACATTCAAACAAAGTATAAAATAACACGCAGAGTGATAACTGAGTTGTAAACATCGTAGTATAAGCAACTCTACCATTTGAACAATACATCGTGGACATTATGACTTAGTAACTCAATATTATGATGTAATTTCTGTTTTAATGGCAAATAACTCATAATGGTTGTAACAAGGTGATGGTAGCATGTTATGATAACAAAACAGCAAGTTTCCCACATATTAATATAAATTACATTGATGGATTTGAACCTAATGGCCTTCCAATATACTTTTGTTGAAATCTATTTTATTTTAAAAGCAATAAAATGAGAAATTGGTTCTTCTTTAAATAATATAAAGATCCTAGAACTTATATTTTTTGTAGTTTACCTTAAGAACACGTAACTAGAATGTTCACATAGTAATATGTGGTTGCAGTTGTCGTTTCGTGACGGTTTGGTTTTGTCTGTGGTACTCAAAAGTTGATATTTTTCTTCACATGAACTTAGTATTTTAATTGTTATTATTATCATTATTATTAGAAGCTTTATTCAACATTATATTTTTGGTACAACATAGAATTCTCAGCATAAAGTATTTCAACAAGTTTCCTTTTCTTATACCTTGATCGATTGTGATGATAAATTTTGAATGATGACCAGTTAGATGTTAGGAGTTCGGTAATCCACATTTGATTAATGTTCATTCGTTTCAATGCATATTGCCGGCCACCATGATGTCACTGATTGTACCTTTTTGTATCTCGTATAGCGAAAGGTTGTAAACTTTTCATAAACGCGCCTGAATAGATTGTGTGCACAACAGACATAATGGTGTGCTAAAACAAACAACAAAACAGATAAGTTGATGAAATATCTAGATCGGAGGAATAGGTAGCCCAGATATTCAAGGAGGCCGCCTTGAGTAACGATACTCATAAACAAATAAAAGTCAACTATTGACCTCCCTTTCGAAGAAAATGATATCACTTTTGGACTTTTTTCATAAACTTGCTTTTCCTAGGAATATTACATTCATAAAAAATTATGACTAGTTTGGTAAATATTGAAGCTACTATAGTTAAATATAAAATATTCAACTATTTTATAGAAGTAGAAACCTATAGTCATTCCTTTATATCCTATATTTTAGAACTATCACTTCTTATCAATAGCTCATTTATTTTCCAATCATTTGAATCGCATATTGATTACTCAATGTTTATTTTAGAACAGAGACAAGTATTCAACCCTCTTAATTATTTATTTAACAGACTTCAAAAACGATTTGAAGAATTTCTAATCATGTGTCATGGTCGTGCTCGTCGTCAATTATTCTCACGTATTACAAAATTATTACATAATTCTAAACGTGTAAGAAATAAAACATTTTTTGAGATTAAATTCATGATTTTTAATTTGATACAATACGATCAACACTATACTTATTCATAAAGTAAATAAGTGATATTTTGGATAAAAGTTAAGCCTAATAATTAAGTCTTAGTTTCATCAGCATTCGAGTGTCTTCAACGTTGAGTATTTTCCAAATTATTTTTATCTTACAATCGATTTCCAATTATAATTATTCTTGTGTTGAATATTTCATTGCTTTGGCTGGTGATGTTGTCTTTGATCCCAGTTAATCCAAGGATTCATGCCTATGATCGAGTCTCATGATCATTCATCATTCGATCACATAGTACTATTTAGTTTATCTATTATACGTCATTCTGTGCATTTACTTTAACATTCCGAAACCCGTTCATCATAATCGCGACTGTTTAAACCCCTTCATAATAAAAATCTTGACAAGGTGTCAAGAGAATAGGGGTGATGGTTCGAATTTTAAATTTCTATACCACATGAGAGCTACTTCTGTGATTGATTCTGGTGTTTGGTTCTTAACCCTAGACTACAATCCCAGTTGAATCAGTCAAAAGGACATTTTCAAGGCCAATCACACTTAGAAAGGTTTACTTAGCCCAAAGGCACCTTGATTTAGCTCTGCAACAGTGTAGATCTAATAATTATAGTATTATAAATCATTACAAATTATTACTTAGTTATAAAAAAATGCTTTGGCTTATGAGTATAACAATAACAGGCAAATTACTTCCGAAATATGTATCCAACTAAATGGTCTAGTTCAATTATTTTGAAATGACTAGTCTAATTCGCCCCAAATAGCTATGTCAATCAATCTTTTATGGAAAAACTGAATAAATAGATAAATTAGATGACAACAACTGATATATGAAATCATGTGACGTTATATCAAAAGTATAAATAATGTAGTTCGAATCCACTTCATGATATGAAATGTGAAGCGTATTTTAATAGGCTAGCAAGTGATCTATATCAGTAAGAAAGTATATGTGTTTCAAATCATGTCAATGAAATTTATAAATAGATGCTATTAGAGAATATGTAATATAGATTTTTAGAAGGAAGCATATTTATTATAAGATATAAATAGATGCGTTTTGTTATTATACGTTAATAATGGGAAGGATGTCACTGTGATCTAGTATAATCCAGATCTACCTTCAGTGTTGTAATAATAAAATTAAAACTAAATCTCATTTAAAGATATAGATAACGTTCAGTTTGGGGCTGTAGAGCTTGTTGAATCTCATTGAAATCATGAACTAATCAATGTCAGCTTACCACCGATGAGGACTTCCATACTAGGACGAAACGACCGTCCATTGCTTACAGGTTCTTAATGGTGGTTCGAAGTTAGTCGGTTCATGATCTCATTGAAAAACATAAACAATTAACAAACTTTGTAATGAAAGTTATATGTAATCTTGTATTTCCATCCTCTGCTTAATTAATGAAAGGAAAATTCTGAAACACTATTATTGTGTATTCAGTCATCTGGAATATAGTAATTAAGTTTGTAAGTTAGACTACTCACCTACAATATTTGAGTGTTTTGTTAGTCGAGCATAATTCTAGGTGGCATTACAGTTAGAACAGATAACTGTCGAGCACATGTGTTGATTAATAATTATGATAATACTTATATTTGAAAAACGATTAGTTAAGTCCCTCTAATCAAGCTTTGTAAAGAAGTGGTACGTAAGGCTACATCTGCTATTTGCACCCAAGCTTAATTATGTTTGGTACATATATTGCGAAACTACTTATAAGGTGAGACTAGTGATAAATTCTGAATAGGCACGGATGTGTTGATTGTTTAAACACAGTCATACACACTGGAGACGTCTTGTGTGATGAATGTCTTCCTGTCAGTCGTATGCACAAAGTCAATTCCGACAAAGATTACAACTCTAGAACTCAGTAAAGAACGGATGTTCCTTATCTGATTTTCCATCGAACGATGGAATAATCGGCTCCACTCATCAATAACGATTTATTTATACGTGATTTTGATACAAAGATCATGCTGTCACTACATATAACTCCCAATAAGTGGACATGAACGATGAACTCAGATACATAGCCAATACCTTGCCCATACTACTAAATACTTAATATTTTAAGAAACAGATATTTTTGATTATGATTATGTTGTTAGTCGCTCTGATATTCCTTTCATTTTGCACAAGCATTTCAAATAAAAACCATTCAATTTAGGATGTGTATCACTGATAATAGACAGTTTCATTCTCATAAACTGTTAATTGCTTAATAAAGTTTTCCCCTGCTGGATATCTGATACCCACAAACATCTCAACCTAACTGGAAATGAAATACTCTAAAAAAACACTCAAATCGTGATAATTTGCATTAAATAATCAAAATTATCCATCCGAGTTAGCTAAATATGGCAGCTTTTACTAGAAAATTGAGAACAATAAACTGTTTCAATTAGTACAGGTTAGGACTAAACGATTTATCCCTAAAATTTAATTAGTAAATAAAAGAAAACAATGCTGAAAACAAATTTCTATCTCCGCACATAAGTATCTTCTGCGATTAAACCACACTTTTTACTTGTTCAGTGTTATTGTGATAGCTTAGTTAGATTTATTTGGAACCTAATTTGAAAGACATTGTAAATCCACAATTAAATATAATTGGGATGAGTAAAATTGACATCATACTTCTACATGGATTTTAGGAACAAGCCTTATGTCTTTATGTGTTTCTCATTGTTAAGATACTTAAAGATAGAATTTATGGTGAGAAACTACAATCTTTGAATTCAACCAACTTAGAAATGATATGGAAGCTCACTGCTGAAACTGAGTGAAGATACTGTGCTTCCTGAGGTGTGAGATAGAGAGAAGCAACTGTGTAAAACTCAGTAATATAATTATGTTGTAAACATCAATTTTACTAATTAGCATTCTTTTCTAACTCTTTCCATAATACATAGTACTCAACACTTCCTGCAATGTTTAAACCAAGCGATTCTCCCGTTTCTTCAAGCGCTCTCTGTGGCTTATACTTTCCACGTTCACCTGATCCAGCCAAACGATGGCGTCCTTCAAACAATGCTAAAATATTTTCTCGTCAACCAGCCTATTTGGATTATGAAAGTCCTCAAGAAGCATTACTACCTCATACAATCCGTATATTATTGACTCGGTTAAGAAACTGGTTACATCAGTTACCTCCTCCTGGTGTGATTATGGACAGTTCAAAGTTGTCAACATTTAATTCAAATAAATGCCAGCAAAATAGCTCTAATTTAATCCAAGGAAGTAATGTAGTCAATGAACTGCGTAAATGGTGGAAGTTCACTCATAAAACAGGTAATAAGAGTAGTACAATTTCGAATAATAAAGTCTTCAAATATAACTATTGTCAAGAAGTTATTGACATTTGATGTTTGAATACCACAGTATCATACTAATCTATCTCGTTTTATCAGCTTAGATCAATAGGGCTAAACATAATGGTCGATTCCTTCAAATGATATAAGAATGTAAAAATTAAAAGATATATCAGTTAAAATCTTTTCCGCACCGATTTTAGATCATTAGTAAAATTCTCTTCTTAGAAATCAAACGAGTTTTTAGTGAAAAACTGAGTCACAATATTTAACTTCCAGTGATTAGATTCCGCTTCATTTATTTGGAGATAGTTTACTGCCTCTGTAAAAGCAGTTGATACTTGATAAGATGACCTCGTTTAATAGTGTCAGAGTATAAATCTTCATTTATTGAACCTTTTTTTAACAAACCCATGTGATCATATATCACTGTAGTAAACGACGTCCAATTTTTAAAGGTTCTTGGGAATTATCTAAGGTATCATCAGTTCTTTGATTTATTTAGAGTTTGAAAAACAGATCAACTAATTGATTTAAAGTAAAATCAAACACATTACTTATATGCAAGATTATATTTGTTTAAAAAAATTCTTCACAGTTCAAATCTCACAACTATTCACTTATCATCTATTTCTGTTTGCCTATATGACAGAATAAGCAAGAAAATTGCACTTGCAAAGATTAATGAAGCCTGAGTGATATCAAACCTCAATCTTACTTAAACTATTGAAACCCACAGATGTTTTTGGAATAGCTCACGCTCACTACATGTTAAAGAGAAACGGTAGTAACATTCAACACCTAATTCACCCAAGGCATTCTACTGGATTTTTGAATTAACTTTGATATGTATAAACAAGAAATTTATTCTTATGAAAATGGAGCTAAAACTGTCTAGAATAATTTAACTGTTAGCGATAAAGTGGCACTCACATTTTGAGCAGCAGCTAAATCAACATACTTCAAGCAAAAAATATAAGAGTACTGACTAATTCGATTTCCAATATTTCCTGTATGCTGAACTGACAAAACGATAATCGATCTCGAGATAAATATATATTAAAAATGATTTAGTACCAAGTATACTGTAAGATATAATGTCTAAGTAATGTGTCGTGGACTAAGATGTTAGCCAAATTCTGATTATAAATAAAAGTCAACATAATGTGGTATGGCAACTCGAACTGATGTACGTACGCACGAAGTTCTACGCTGTTACTGACTGACTGAAAAGTCAACATCAAGGTGGTCTGCTAACAGTGTATATATGTTTTAAGTGATTGATCATTTGCAGTCCTTAACATCTACAATTGAAAAATAAAAACCATTACCAATATCATGATACACAATGTTTACATTTAACAAGAGTATCTGATGAAGCTAGTTAGAGTAAACTACAAGTAAACTCAAGATGTTGTTAACATCAGATATCAACATTACAAAAGAATAAATTTATACTTCTGATTTCGGTTATTTCTTTACCCTAAAGAAGTAGCTTACATTAAGTCACGAAATGTCAGAAATACAGTTTTCTACTAATCGGGATATCACAAGTAGTATATTTGTTATTAGAATTCTGATACTTGTTGAAACTAACATTATGAATCTTGAAATGTCTATCTATACCTTGAAAGTGATGCCTAAAAACAGGAAGTTCAGAAACGTTTACACTCTAAAATAAATGTTGTTGTTATGTTAGTGATCATTAAGTCACACAACTAACTCTTTAAAATTCTGCTTATAAAATATGGATCCTGATAAAAAGATAATATCCAGTTCAATTATATCCCTGACTAATATCAGCCGGACAATAAGTAACCAATGTACAGTTGCTCACCAGAAATTTCGGAATCTATTTAGAAGCTACTTACTACTCAGTATCTGATTATTTCTACCACTGAACTATGGGCTTCTTAAAATTACTCACTTTAAGGTAAGCTTTTATTTAAGCTGCAGAATGTTCATTCAATCCTATCTCAATGGTCTATAGGCTTTGTTTTTATCACAATACTTAAAGTTCCTGTGGTTGATCATATGTATAGTCACAAACCAGTACAAAGCAGTTATTCATTGATTACCTGATGTTCAACGATTTTCAGTTTGATATTAGTCTGTAATAAAAACTAATTTCTCGTTGAAACGTTTTTCTCTTCAAATCTCTTTATAGTAAAAATCATGAAATAATGTTCAAGTATTGTTTAATATAATTTGAGTATCGATAATGTGTAAAATTTGGTTGTTGATTAGTACATGCATATACATTTAGAAGTATATGTATTTACTTTGTTCTCTAAGTCATAACTGTTATAACGCTCGGTTTTACTTTGTCTAATGTTATAACGGTTGGGTTTCCACATTTACACATATGGGACGTTAATTTACCTTAGACGAATATCTACACTAGATTCCCTCCCAGTGTCTATTCTACAGGACTTCAACACAACTCAGATCAAGAACACGTGATTAGCCTGACCACAACGTAAATGTATTTCCACATCAAAAACACGACACAATCCAACAACAATGAACAATCAGTAATAAGTGAGTAATAATAATAAGGATAGGGGAATATATAACTCATCTGACACCTGTCGGATTATCTACATGCCCGACTAAGCAGAGAACTAATAATTATCATTCTAGCCCACACATCAATAACATATTTTTGTTTTGACATTTGCATAACTTAAAACTCTAATCCCATTTTGTTTTCATAATCAATCGCACCATTAAATGTAGTTGAAAATCGTGATCAATTAGAAAAAATAGTTGCCGATGCTACTTTTATAAAAGTAAGTAGGAAGTAATACAAAATTTAATTATTTGTTTATTTATTTGATTAATCGATTTCTTACCAAATATAATGCTTATTTCACCCAAAGGCATCCAAAAACGTTTTTGAGATCCCATAATGCTTGTGCCATCAGAGACTCTTTGATAAACACGGTGTCGAAGGTCAATTATCTTGGTGTTACTTTTTCCTCTGTTTTCTCTTGGTCTTCTCGTGTTTTACTGTTATCGAAGAAAGTTTTCCATCTGACTTATTATATAAAGAGACTTCATGCTTTTGGGATTACTCGTCATTTACTCTTACAATTTGTCAATTCTTGCATATTACATATTATTCATTACTGTTCTCCATTGTTCTTTCCCGGGCTTTTGAGAAAAGATTTTGCTGTATTGCGGAGAGTGTTCAAAGCAGTTAGCAAGATGTGTGGTGAATCTTTATTATTAATATGGCTGTGGATAGACAACTAAACTCTTGCGAATTCCTGACAGGTGTTATCTTATCAGATACTAACCATTCCCTTCACTCATATTTTTCCCCTTGTATATCTTCTGGAAGAACGAGACGTAATTACATTGAAATCCATGCACGCAAGCAAAAGTAGAAAAGTTCTATAATACCTTACCTAGCAAATATACTATGTGACGAACAGGTTGTTATAGCCAACCTAGTCAATAACCTGTGTTCTTAAACATGTTTTTAATTTGGAATGTTGCACTAACTTGCACTGATCTAAGCTATAGGTTTATCGAAATAAAGTTGTATGACCAAGAAAACTTTGTCAAAAATAACAAAAAAAAACGTTGAATTTAAAGATAAGATTCGTTGACAGCTTGTCAATGGACATCATTTTATTTCATAAACTTTGGAATGTTTCATACTTTCTAAGATTCCTTCACGTTTTTAAATTCGAAACACACAAAAAGGAAATTTATGTAATATTACATGTAACTATTTTGATTTCAACACTCTCATAAGAACCTTACAACCTAAAGTTAATCAACGTTAAAAGTATGTGTAACAAGGTAATGCTGACTGAATGTCAAAATGATGTTGGTGTTATATTTTAGTATAAAGCCTCGAAAAGTGTCAATGAAGTATCAGCTGCTTCCAATTTAATTATTTGTGATACTATACGTACAAAAATAAAATGATACTAACTAATAAACAATACTTTATCATTATACATTTCATACTATACGACATAACTAAACAAGGAATTGACACAATTTACGTTAGCTTAATTACGAAACATCTAGGCGATTACCCTTGCGTATGTTATTACATAATTCTATGGTCGATTAGGGTAAACCAATCAACTGATACTGTGCTCATTCCCAATGATTTATAGACCGATTTCTAGTCGATCATTTCATTCATGAATGTATGAATCTGGAATAAAGTTTTTCCTAATAAAATATCTATCACAGGATTATACGTCATAATTACTCTATGAAAGGAGAAGCAAAGAAATAAAACACAAGAAAATTTGCTCGTATTTCGAAAAAGAACAGATTGTATAAAACGTAAGGTTGAATCTAATAAATATTATAATCAGAAAGATCATAGGAACAGGAAATTACCCGATTTCAGGTAACAGATTAAAAGAGCATAAAAGAGGTGATTGATTTGTAGAACTAAAAATGATAACCATGGTAACAGAAAAAGCTAAATAATTATCATTTTCAAATATAATTAAAGATTTATAATATCTTTGGTAGATTATTGAAATGAAGGAAAAGTGAATAGGCATTGTCATCGACAATTTTATCACCATTATAGATAACTCGGAATGATTCATTTGTACTTCTAATGCATTCTTACTACTTCCTTTCTTAATAATTCAGAATAGTATACTATAATCTCATTTGACAGAACCTACATTTAAATGACAAATGCACCTACCTCTATCATGGTTTAAGTAATCTATCACAATATTCTTTTTATTTATGTTAAATATTTTACATTTCTACTCCGTTTCCAGAAATTGAATGATATTATGCAAACAAAAATTAATACTGAAGTGGAAAAACACAGAAAGCAATATGAATCAAATAAAAATCTGACTAATTTAAGGTAGATATGTTATGTATTAAATCCTTTTCAATGCAATATAATTTTCTAAAGCATTTATGTTAATCTACTATTGTGATCAATAATTATATATAACTACCTTTACTCTTAAACGTTAAAATAATAATCATTTAAGTAGCATTGGGATGCTACTTTGTTCCAATATAAGACTCCTTAGTCGTTTCCATCCAGAGATCAAAACCAACACCTATAAGACTCATAGAAAGCGCCGAGCCTTTAAACCACCGAATTGATACCCGATGCTTTACATATCCAAGTTCAATTAATTTGCTGAAATGTATGGATTTCTGAACCTAAAACATAGACTGAGCAATTGTCCGGTGTTCAGTATTTTTCACTGACTTCAGCTGATGCCAGATCCTGATGGAAACTATTTCGAAATTGAAGAACTAAGATCTATCGATCTTGTATGGATGTTTTCTAGTTCACATTCAATTAAAAAGATACTTATAATCTATTCTCATTAGTGATTATAAAATGAAAGTTCATAAATTCTAATCGTTTAGCTGTGTCACCAGACTATTACAATCTCAATATTCAGAGCTTTTTAAAATTTTAATTACTGATTACTGATACATGTCGTCGACTATTGTTGTAAAACTACTCTTATGTGTATTTATCCATAACACTATAAATTATAGCTATCTGATTAATAAATTTTATGTTAACTTTTAGCACATTTAAAAGCCATCCAAAGCTTACAAAGGTCCTTGTGGATGAACTACTCTCAAGAATAGGAGCTCAATTTTATCACCCACGATCTGGGCAAGTAAGAGCAGTTTTTCTGTGTGTTTATTTTTATTATCCGGCTCATCTACTGAAATTTTGTAAACAGTATCAGAATAAAAACGAAAAAAGATTTGAAGGTTTGAAGAAGAAAATTAATTCATGCTTTATAACAGCTTCTCGTCCGTTTCATAGAAACTAAAATTACAATAATTAATACCATTAGTAATAAGTGTTTAGCATCCTAAGGAAGGATAAAGATCAGTTTAGTACCAACTATGACCTCTATGAACATGTTAGACCATCGGTTTCCGTTCCCAAAAGTCCATAAGAAGAATATCCCCTTACATCCAATACTTGATATGAAAAACTCTCTTCATCATTTGGTGTTTAACATGCTTTAGATTGTGGATTTTAGATAATGTGCGAAATTTTACCGAAATCATAATAATAAGTAGAATAAGGATACAAAGTATATGCATAAACATATTTGAGATCGATGTGTATTTACGTACTGTAAAGTAGTGTTTCAGAGGTTATGTAACGGTAATGAAATTAATAAGTGACTGGGTAATCACCCGACATGACAAAATAAACAGACATGCAGAGATCAATCAGATTATGTAACAGGTGAATATTAAACGACGAAATAATAATAAAAATAAAAGAATTGGAAACAGGGTTGAAATAAAAGGATTATAAGTCAGAATTACTAAGGGTTATAAGATGAATCTCCAATTACCATGGAAGGAAAAGGTTAATCGCATTTTCATTTTGTATACATAAGTAAGGTCATAAACGTTTGATAACGATTGCCTCTGCCGAATGGAGTAGGAAAGATGTTTTTTATTTGTCCGAACATTATTATTTACATCTGCTTCGTATCTATCATTCAAATGATGTCTGGCGATCGCACTTGTTAAAACCTTATTTCTTTTCAGCCGTAGGTTCCTAGCAGTGTATTCGGAAAACCTTGTAAAGGCCCTAATCTCCGTTTTTATTATGCACCTGCTATTGCAGGTACATGTAAATTTATTATTGCAATTACAAGTGATGTCACTAGTATAACAAGCATAACGTCCTATTATGGTACTCTTCAGCAGTGCACATCCACAACCTCACAATCGGGAATCAAACCCAGAACCCTCTGTCTTAGGTTCGAACGCTCAATCTCTAGAAAACTGAGGTGGGAGCCAACGGTGTTAATGTGTGACTTCAAATAATTCATTATATTGTGTAATTCTCATATGTTGCCTGGGATGGAATACTATCTCACATTCGACAAGGATTGAACTACACCTGTCACGGTTTCTCAATAGAACTCCAGAGTTCTTTAAAGTTAGGAAGCAGATGATTATCAGCGAATTCCAAAATGTCTACAGTCCCCTTCCACTAAGATGAATATTCTAAAAACTAATGAATTCGCCATTCGAATTTCTAAATCTTTTAAACTTGTTTTCACCATACCTTTAACTATCTCTGAAATAAGGAAAATATTTTTTTAAACTATGTCATCCACTTTGTTGATTATTTGCATTCCAACCGATCGTCTTCCCATGTTTCTATTATTACTTCATTTTAGCTAATAAACTTTGGTATATGGAGATTATGCATATTCTTGAATTCCCACAGTTTACATCAGGACTGATCTTAGTTTGACAACATTTAAAAACTAGGAAGCAGTAAAGTTCAACCATATAGGTCAATATCTTAAACTGATCGTAGTTAGATATATTTATTATAGAATCCAGGCTCAGTGATTTAGAGACTAACCACTCACTGGGAGAACTGAAAGTTTCGAGTTCGATCCTAAATAGGGTCATGAATCCTCATTGTTGAGTGAATTCTATACTAAGACTAAACCGTTGTCCAGTGTTTTTTTTCAGTTTTCTATGCTCTCATAGTTGAAATCAGTCGATGATGTAAGGAATAACAAATCTTAGTTTACTCATATCAACATATCAAATACTTATTTATCATGATTTGTTTTATTTGTCAAGTCTAACTGATTTCAAACTATTCATTTTCATTATTATAATTCATATCAGTAACACAAAATGTTTTTATTTTATTACAATTCTTTGTTTGTTTGTTTTTCAATAAAAATCTAGTATAGTATCATTTATTTCACTGGTTGAAATCATGAGTCAATTGAAGCTAGACCACCATGGAAAACCTGGAAGCAATAAACGGCCGTTTCGACCTAGTATGGGACTCCTCAGCAGTACGCATCCACGATCAATGTTAATATTTAACCAGGTTTCTTGTGAGATATCAGCTCACTGAAGACAGTGGCGCAACTTTGTGGATTGGTTGAAGCTAGACATTAACACCGCTGGATGCCAACTCAGTGCTCTAATGGTTAGGCGCTCGCGCGCGAGACTAATAGGTCCTGTGTTCGAATCTCACGGGGTGCGGGACCATGGATGTGCACTGTTGAGAAGTCCCATACTAGGATGAAACGGCCATCCATTGCTTCCAGGTTTTCCATGGTGGTCTAGCTTCAAATGACTCATGACTTCAACCAGTGAAATTTCTAAAATCTCCACAAAACCCCTTCTGATAATATCATTTATTTGTTTTGTTTTTTTTATTCAATTTTAAGTTTAGCTATAGAAGTACTCAACGAGTAATGGATGGTATTGATATAGCATTACCTTATACATTTCCTGGAGTACAAATATTTGACAGATTAATTAAAGATGGTGATTAAATTTTTCTTCCATTATTAACTATGTTTAGTTTATATAGACAATATTATGATTGTAAATGTGTTTATGATGATGATTATTATATTATTAATAGTTTTGTACAGTCATTTAACTCATTAGCTAACATTTGAATTATGTTTAGAATAATGGCAAAACAAACTATTCACATTGAACATTGAACATCTTCATTCATAATGAATGATATACAATATGTTATTACAACTAGATGATATTCTTAATATCATGAAAACATTCATTTATATCTTTAGGATTTTATGGAGTAATTATCAAAACAGGTTAATATGAACCTGATTGAAGAGAAAAATATGCAAGTATTTGTTAATGTTTGTTCATTTGACATATTCAGGTATCAGTAATCCCAATGATAAAAAACTCCAAATAAACGAATGTATATTTTTATTCTTCTTTCAAACAGAAAATATAAAATTATGCGTTTTATTTTGATCAAAAATTTCACAGAGATCCTAGTTCTTCTTGAATACTTTTAATGAAATGAAATGAGTAAAATCAAAGAAACTTCTAATAGAGAATCTAATTAAATTATATGAATATATCTTAACAAATAGGTTATCATATTGATTGTAGTGTTAGATAGTCAAATCATAGTTTTTCGGACAAAGTTTACCAATATTGTAGACAAATCAATATATACATTCACTTGGTATTGTTTACTTGAATCTTCCCATTGATGTTTAGGACTGCAATTGACCAGTCTCTTATTAGCATATGTGCATACTGTGCGTATTACCTCGATATTATCTTAATTCACAAGCATTACAAGCAAAAATGGATAGTGGCTAGCAGTGGCTATCAGGGCTTAGTAGCTAAGTGGATAACGTGATGATGTTTGAAGCGAACGGTATTTGATTCAAGTCCCAGAGTGAACATCAACTCTGAGATGCAGGTACATCTAGCTGATGAGCTCAAAATAAGACGAAACGCGTGTTTTAGATCCCACTGCTAGCCACTATCCATCTTTGCTTATATATATAGAAAATTAGATTTTTCAACTCATTGGGATATTAATTTTATTAGTAACCGTCTATTTAATGATTGGTTTATTTGAAATGATCAAGATAATCTTTTTGTTTATAATCACTTACAAGGATTCTAAAGCAAGACTGAACTTGAATGAAACGTGAACATTGTTTATTTACATACATTACCAAATATATATTCCTTCTTCTTGATATTAGGAACAGTTAAAGTTGCCTTAGAAACAGAATCTCTTTTGATGTTTATTCGTCATTCTATTAAATAATAATAATAATAATAAAATAATAGTATGAGGGAAAATAATAATACTAGTTATATTCAATATTATAAACTCTTTAAGGGCATAGAATTTTTAGCACTGTGTGTTCAATATAAAAACGAATCTTTTTTCGAGCTGAACTTAAAATATAATCATTTAAGATATAGTTTGATACGTACTTTACACGGTTATTAAACTTTTCTACCACTTCAAATACTAAAGTTATTTACCAATCTGTCGTGTTTAAGATAGTTGAATTACAATGTATTTGTCCTTGTTTATCAAATGATAGATAATTAAGAAAAAATATCCTATTGTGGGACGCCTCAATTTTGTGAGTTAGTTGAAGGTAGACATTAACACCGTCAGATGCCGACTCAGTGGTCTACAGGTTAAGTGTTCGCGCGTGAGACTGACAGTTCCTGGGTTCAGATCTCGCGTGGCGGAATGGTGGATATGCATTGTCGAGGAGTCCCACAATAGAATAAAACGGCCATCCAGTGCTTTCAAGCTTTCCATGGTGGTTTAGCTTTCATTAACTCATGATCTCAACTATTAACATTACTATAACCTCCACGAAACTCCTTCTGATACAAATCTAAAATAGGTAGGTTAATTGTATTGTTTGCACAGTTAGAAGTTAAGTGTTCCAAATATTCATATGGGCCACTGTTATAATAATAGATTGGTTAGATAGGCATCTATTATCATTGTATGGGAAGAAATAGTATGTGATTAAAGTACTAGGAACTGATACCTTGTATCTATGTTTTTTTTATTATTTTAAATTGAAATTAAATGCTTCGACATGCGGTAAACGACTTATTTAACTTTTGGTGTAAAACTTCAAAATGTGAACTATCAGATTGACATATAAATCCATACATTAGGAGAGTGTAACTTGATATATTCATTATTTATAATAATTTTAAATAGCCGACGGTAGCCTATGTTGCAGTTAACATCAAGATTAAGGTTAGCTTCGAATTTAAAATAGCATGCAAGTAAAGAAGGTTTGAACACCGGTCTGTAATATGCAGTGCAATAATTGATGGGATTTTAAGATTAGCAATGTTATAAATTATAGAATTTCTATCATTCTAATATCATCAAGCACTTTGAAACTTGGTGATGATCTAATAATGCTGTAATGAAACTTCGTTCCAGAAAATATTTTTAATTTAATTAAATGACTGGATAAGAAATATATATTCTTAACGAAAATTTTCCTACTGTTATAGCATTACATTTTCAAATCTAATTAGCTGATACGTAGAGAACCGAGTCAGCTTCTAGAAGGTCATTCATTTCCAGTTTATTACATCTACTAGGTTCTCCTTCGAATTAGATCATTACCTAACATATAAGGTAGTTTAATCTCTAAAATTACTTCGCTTTTTCTGCAAGCATAAACTTGGTGTTGATAATCTGATGTTATTCGGTTTGTGATTCTTTCGAAAACCTGTAAATGAGTTCGATAAACTATGCTTACCAACAATATATCAGCCTATATTACAACAAAACTTGCAAGAGTTTGTAACTGTTTGTTAAAAGATTCCCCTTAGATGGAACTCACTTTGTTCTAGTAAGATATACAACTAAATTTGTATACACAGAAGAAATTTAGGAAGAATTCTAGTTGAAAGTAAATTCTATGAGTTAGTTTTTAGAGTTTCATGCGTTGACTAAATTATAAGCTGGAAAATGTGGTCCAGTAGTAACTCCTAGATGACTGTTATCTTGATGGCCCAAGTACTCTTTTTTAAGGAGCAGTTTTATAAACATTATACATTTCAAAGATAGTAGCTATTTCATGAATTGTTTATGAATTAATATTATATAAATATCGTTTCCCGTTGAAGCCATCCTTATACTCTTTACTTTAATATTTCCACAACAAAAACCTTATGAAAAGTCGAACTTTGAGCCTCTGGATTTTAGAGTTAGTAGACCAATAGTCCACACCAACTTCTGCGATTGTTGTTTAAATGTGTATTCCGTGTAGATGAGTTTGATTCCAATACACTTTCCTTGGTATACACATTTTATCTCGGAAATCATTAAAAAATGGGGATTATTGAATCTTGCTAGACATGAGACCTGGAATTCTTAATTAGGCCATTTATAAAATCATGAATATACACTTTACTAGAACGGCTCACTAATCCACTGTTTTACCGTATTTAAAGCTTCTTTAGTAGATATTATTTCTTCATATTAAATTAACCTTCAGAACAAAACTCAACTAAATAATATCAAACTAGGTTGACTTATATTGTGGAAAATGAGTGAATTCAACGTTTTCGTTTGATTGTATGAATTACATGGAATATGTTGAAATTAGTTTTGATATAAACTTTTTAGTGTAAGACTGAACTTCATCAAACCTTGAAGCATGGATATTTTGGTACCATATTATATAGATCTGGTAGATAGATCATTAGTACCTTTGTTAATAACGAATAATTTTGTATCTATTGCTTTAGAGATAGTTTTCATGCCCATTTCAGAGATTGTAAACTGTTTGTGACAATAAATCAAATGAATTTGAAAGATAAATAGATTTTAACTATTTGTAAGATCCATGATTTTAGCATTAAACACTCTGTGTACAGTTTATATCTGTACTCATTTTCATATTAAGCAAAATAGACAATTAATGTAAGCTTATTAAAAGAATTATGATCGATTAAACTGCAAAATCGTGCATAGAGGACAGCTGACAGACTCGTTCGTGGTAAAGACCGGTGTCAGGCAAGGTCGCTTACTCTCACCCTTTCTCGTTCTCCCGGTGATCGATTGGATTATGAATACGTCATCATCTGGGGGGAAGCATGAGATATAGTGGACAGATAGGATGCAGCAGGATGATCTAGACTTCGCAAATGATCGGGCTTTTCTTATCACACACGTAACAACAAATGCAGGAGAAGACGACCAGTGTAGCAGCAGCCTCAGCAGCAGTAGGTCTCAACACACACAAAGGGAAAAGCATGATTCTTCGATACAACAAAACATGTACCAACCAATTCTTACTTGACGGAGATTTGGAAGATGTAAAGACCTTTACATATTTGGGCAGTATCACTGATAAACACGATGGACCTGATGCAGATGTGAAGGGGCGGGTCGGCAAAGCAAGAGCAGCATCTCTATAGCTGAAGAACATCTGTAACTCAAAACAACTGTCAACTGCCAACATCAAAGTCGGAATTTTCAGTACAAATGTCAAGACAGTTCTACTGTATGGGGCGGAAACTTGGAGAACTACGAAAGCCGTCATCCAGAAAATACAGGTGTTTATTAACAGTTGTCTATACAAAATATTTCGGGTCCGTTCGCCAGACACTATCAGCAGCAACCTACTATGGGAAAGAACAAACCGGATTCCGGCTGAGGAATAAATCTGGAAGAGTCGCTGGAAGTGGATAGGACACACATTGAGGGAAGCACACAACTGCATCACAAGACAGGCCCTCACATGGAATCCTGAAGGCCAAAGGAAAAGAGTAGGACCAAAGACCACATTACGCCGGAAATGAAGATAGACATGAGTAAAATGAACAACAATTGGATAGAACTAGGAAGAAAATCTTAGAACAGAGTGGGTTGGAGAATACTGATCGGCGGTCTATACTCTATTCGGAGTAACAGACGTAAGTAAATATTAAAGGAATTAAATAGAACAGCTAGCAATAATGAATTATATTAAGACAATATTTACTT